GTTAAAGGGGCCTCCTCGCGCCACCGCCACCTGCTTTGACCTCAAGTAGTTGAACATTTCTGCCCTGGCCTGCGCACGCGTGCGCAGGAGGAGGAGGAGGAGGAGGAGGAGGAGGAGGAGGAGGAGGAGGAGGAGGAGGAGGTGGTGGAGGAGGAGGAGGAGGAGGAGGACGACGCCTTGGCATCGCTCGGACCTGAGGCTGAACCTCGTCGCGTTCAGCCTCAGGTGTTCTCGAAGCTTGCCTGGAACCCGTCTCGTGCTTAGAAGAACGGACGTCTTGATTGACTCCACGGCCTTCTCGCCGGTCTGCTCCTCGTGCTGCTGCAACAGCGCCTCCCATGGTGCGATGGCCTTGATCGGGTCGTTCTCCTGCACATGTGGATACAAGATAGAGTCCAGCATCCCCGAGACTCGCGACGGCACTTTCAGCTCGAACTCCACATATAGTCATCGCCAAGCTTCCAGGCCTGATCCTGAAGGAACGCTATTCACAATGCCCTGTGCCTTGTCTTCGCATGTCCGCACCAGGATGTAATATAGGTTGTTGTTCATACGCTGGGCCTCTTCGTCTCGATCTTCATGCGCGTAGGCCCCAGCGTCCTCCTGAGCTGCGTCCCTCATCAGCTCGTCTATGTGCGGATCCACTGCCATACAGTAAGCCTCAAAACAAAACTCCAGTTCTCCCAGGTGATCACGTCCTTGTACTTCGCGTGCTCGTCCAGCTCGGCTGAGAACTCGTCAGGTCTCCCGAGCAGCTTGGTATATTCCAGCGGTTTGATACGATGGACAGGTCCTGCTCGATACTCCTCATGTCCTGATACTCCCGCTGCTCTCGCTGCTGCCCGAGCGTTGGCCCGTTGGGCCTGCCTCTCGATCTCCATGATCTGCGTCACGTTGTCTGACCACAGCGCTCTCCATGCCCACAAAAGATTCAAACCTCCTCCGCGAAAGCCATCTCCGGTCGCGAAATCTGGAGCTTGGCCGTGGGCACAACCAGGCTCCGCTACCATGCGGAACGGCGAATACCGTTGGGTTTTTTTCCCTCGAGCCAAACAGTTTCAGTCCATACATATCTATATGTATATATATATATATATATGTGTGTGTGTGTATGCTCACATCTCTTGAAACCCCGCAGAATAGACAAATTTTGGCATGTCGGGGCCCTCGCGGGGAGTCCTCAGGGAGCCACCGTGGAGCCTCTACAGGGCCTCTGGGAGCCATCTTGGGCCGTATGATGCGGCGCCTTGCTGGCCGTAGTGGAGTCGTTTTGGGTTGGGTGGTGCAGGTGTGGGGCTATCATGGGGCCATCTTGAGCAGTTTTGAGCCCGTGCCGGAATCTTCTTGAGTTGTCTTGGGCGTCTCTCGGGCCGTGCTGGGGCCGCGTGGAACCGTCGTGGGGCCTTCCTGGAGGCCTCATGGCACGTCTCGGGTCGCTGGGCAGAGCATCTGAACAAGTTGGCCAAACATGCAGATGTCCGTGAGCAACGGTCAATTGTTGGCATGTTGGCCTTCGCGGAGTGTGCTCTGGGCGTTATCGTGGAGCCTCTACGAGGCCTCCAGGGGCCCGCCTGGGCCGTCTCCGGCGCCTTGAGGGCTGTATTGGAGCCATCTTGGGCCGGGTGGGGCCCGCGTTGGGCCGTCAATGGGCCATCTTGGGCGATCTTGAGCCCGTCTCCGAGTCCTCTTGAGCTGTCTTGCGCATATCTATGGCCGTCCGGGACCGCCTGGAGCCGTCGTGGGGTTCTCCTTAATGCTTCGTGGCCCGGCTCGAGTCGCTGGTCAGTCAGGGCCTCTGACCCAGATTGCCTAAATGCATGTCTTTTTTGCCAGGGAATGAGGCTGGAACATATTCATTACCAGTGGCGGGCTTTTGTTCAATCCCCAACTTTTTGAGGTTCGGGGACGACGTCGGGGTGGTGTGGTGTATACTTTTTTCCCATTTCCCGGGGGGAAGCATCAAACAAATTATACACCAGGATCCTCAGGATCCGAACACACCAGGTTCCGTTTTCCTGTGCGCATTTCAGTGCGGGGCCGGAAAGAGCGTCGGTGTATAGAGTTCGGCTCCTAAAATCTCTTGTTAGGACCCTCGCGGAGGGTGCTCTAGCAGCCATCCTGGAACCTCTACGGCCATCCTGGACCACCTGCGGCGCATTGCGGGGTGTATTCTGGCCATCTTGGGCTGGGTGGGGCCCCTTGTTTGGCCGTCGTGGGGCCATCTTGGGTGATCTTGAACTCGTCTCAGTGTCATCTTAAGCTGTCCTGGGCGTCTCTTGGGCTGCCCCGGGGCCCCCTTGAGCCGTCGTGGGGCCCTCATGGAGGCCTCTCGGACCGTCTCGGGTCGCTGGTCAGGGCCTCTGAAACAGATTAGCGAAAAAGACAGTTTTCCGACGGAAATGAGCACATGTTGGCTTGTTGGGGCCCTCGTGGGAGTCCTCTGGGAGCTCTCGGGTGGCCTGTCTGTCGATGTAGAGATCTGTTGGAATCGTTCCCCGAACAGTGCTTGCACTTGCATTTCTAAAGAACTGGATGGGTGTCCCAAGGATTTGCCACGTTCCGGTTTGTTGCCGCCCGCTGCCGCCTCCGTCGGTGTCTTGGGGGTTCGCCACGTTCCGGCCCGTTGCCGGCGCTTTCCGCTTGTGGGGGTGTCTTGAGGATGCGCCACGTTCCAGCCAATTGCCGCCCCTTGCCGCCAGTTGGGGTGTCCAGAGGATTCACCATGTTCTGGCTCGTTGCCGGCCGTTGTCGCTTGTGGGGATGTCCAGAGGATTTGCCACCTTCCAGCCCGTTGCAGCTTGTTGCCGGCCGTTGCCGCCTGTGCGGGGTTCCCGAGGTCGCACCGAGGACGTAAAATAGTTTACACCATATAGCATGCACCACATACATGCCACCTCGAGCTTACACCTCCGAGCTTGCACGACATAGCCTGCACCACACAGCTTGCACCCCGTAGTTTTCACTTCCAGTGCGCACACGACATAGGTTCTCCTTTCTTAAAGGGAAATAGGTTCTACCACCCTCCCCCCCTGGACTTATCGATTTCTCGGGAACCTATGCAAAACAGATCTGATTCTGACCCAATGTCCATCCGACCTGTGAATTCATACTACCCCAGCCAGGCTGGTATCGGCCCCCGTCTATGCGCGCGCATTCGTTTATCAAAAACCACAAGTTGTCAATAATCCTTTGCAACAAATGGGACGAAGTGCGCACGCTCGCGTCGTCGCACGCGCATGCCGAAAGCTTTCAAACAAATCCCAACTTCGGAAGGATATCAAAATCGAGTGTCCAACACACATGAAACACATGGCTTCGCCACACGGATGTTCAACAAAAGCGTGCGCCCGCGCGCTCTCTTGCGATTTTTATAGAAAACCCTAAGTTGTTAACCATCTCCATAAAGTACTACCACACGGGCTTCGCGCGCGTGCATGTCGAAATCTTTCGAACGCCCTTGCGCGCGTGCTGGGCTGGCACGATCCGTGTCAAATAATACCATGCGAGCCACACTAGCGCGTCTGCCGCGCGCGCATTTCGAATTCCTTCCAATACCTTCATCACCGACGCGAAGACGCAGTCATCGTCGTCGGCGTGAGCAGCATCGGCGCCGTCACTGGCTGCCCCGTCGTCGCTGTCAGCATCGTCACCAGCATCGCTACTATCATCACCGTGTCTACCGTTGTCGACGTTGCCATGATACCGCGCCCGCCTAAGTCGCCGACTCGCATTGCAGTGCCCGCTGGGGTGCGCCGGGCGGTCAGCGCCACCGCGTTCGCGTGGGTCGCGCCAAACTGGCTGGCCGCTGCGCGCGCGAGCATGCGCGGGCTAGCGCGGCCGCATATATGTACCAGCCAACACCCAACACTCATCGCAATCGCTCCCGCATGGGTTTTGCAAACCAAATGGCGGGTGGGTGGGGTGATTGTGCGAGCAATTGTGTTGACAACTTCAAGTTCGGCAAGTGATTTACACCACATTGGTTCCACCGCATAGCTGACACCGCATAGCTGACACATCGACAGTGCAATCTCGCACTTGCTGTGGGCCCACGCTGGCTGACACATTGCAATGTTGCGGTCGGCGTTTTGAGTGAACGTGCCGAATTCCGACTGATGTTGGGCTCCAGATGGGCCTGAAGACTTCGTGTCCCATTATATCGTCATTGGCGCTGACGTTGCGAATTCAGGCCCGCCACATACCGAGGCACATGTCTATGTACAGTAGATGTCACGTGCACCTGAAGCTATCGGCAACCACTGTGGCATCACAGTACACGCGAATGTCGATGTATGTACTGATTTGTTCATGGGTGCGGGTCGGAATTTCGCAGGATTTCCACCATCTTTGGGATGCCGTGGTCAGCATTAAGGATGAACCCATTTATTTCGGCCAGATCTGGGTCCCAAGAGGAGCCCCAATTCCTCGAACTCACTTCGGTCGCATTTGATGAACGGCTCCGACATGGAACAACATGTTCCAGCCCGATGTGTGTATATATATATATATATGTACACACGGTGTAAGTTTAGGCGTAAGTCATTGTGTGTAGAGAGAGAGGTCGATGTCGAAGTATCTTCGGATGCGGGAGCGGGACCGCAAGCGAAAACAGTTGTTGGCGCGTATGTTTATATTGATGCAGAAGTTGAGGTGTATGTATATATATATAGAAAAAATATGTACAGCCAGGTGTCCTTGTAGATGGAGGTGCAACTGTTTATTCAGCGGCATAGGTGGGCTAAAGGACAAGACATGTAGTTCTCGAGATGAGGGGCTAACATAGAATTACGTGCAGTTTCAGAGGAAGGTGGAGGTAGTGATGTGGAGTTGCCGATGTAGGATGTATGGATGTAGATGAAGATGCAGATGCACATGAAGAAGGGAACGTAATTGCGTATATGGGTTTGCTTTTAACGGATGAGGGATCATTAGTTCACCCCGACGGTGCACGCCATATGTTGGCAAGCTTGGGTTGTAAGGTGATGTCTCCCACTTCGCAGGACGTGGGCGTGCCGCTGCCGAGTATAGAGGAGATGCTCGCGCGGGGCACAGATGGCACTGTGGCAGAGCAATCTATTCAGAGTCCATGGCCAGGGACTGAGCCTCCGCCAACAGAGTTAACGTTCTCAGGGCTCAGACCTGGACAATTGTTGATCGCCAGCGCACGGGCCAGCAATTCTTGCGGCAGTTGCAGGGCTTGGTCGGCGTTGACCAAGCCCGACGACAATGGGGAGCTATGGGAGCACCACGCCGCAACTGCGCCCTTGCCGCCAGAGACTCCAGGAATCCCGAGCTTCGTCGAAGGCTCTCTGAGGTCTGCCGGCTTTCTCACCGAGGGCCGCCTTCGCGTCCGGGTGGCACGCAACAACGGGCCTCCCTTGAGCAAGCTCGGCTTCGAACTGATCGATTGCTTGGGGATCCCGAGCAGCGTGTCGCATAACCTCTACGTCACCATTTTCACAGCCAGAGGTCGGACGGGGCTAGAACAAGTATAAATTCGCTCCAGAGCGTTCTGGAACGCTCTGAGATGACCGCGGCGCCCGAGACATCCTCCAGATCCGCCGGATCTCAGAGATTCTCGATTCATTCTCACCCGATTTGATCCTCGTCATGGCTTCGTCTTAAGAGGAGTGGTGCCTGCGGGCGTATCAGCGCTCGACCTCTTCTGCACGGCGAACGTGCCCGGGAGAGACGAAACGCTGGCATTGACGACGCGGACCGCCTTCCACACGGCGGCCCCGGAGTGGAGGCACCGCGAGCAGCTGAGAGATTGGAGGTTTGGGATGCCCGTGCAGATCCAGGTCTGTTGCGTTGCATCTTCGAGGGGGCCTCACCTGTCCCCAAAATGGGTGCCTTTTCTTGTGCCCGACGCGGGCTCGAGGCGGACTCGACGCGGATTTGGTGCGGACTCGACGCGGATTCGGCACGGATTCGACACGGATGCGACGCGGATAGGGCCACGACGGGACAGACAAGGCCCCCCGAGGATGCAACAGAAGGTTAAGTCGGGCATGTCCTTCTACAAGAGGAATACCCCACAATAGTTTAAAGATAGTCTGGGGACGATTTTTCGTGCTCTCTGGGCTATGCTTGGCCACTCTTTGAAATGTTCTAGTTTGTCTTCAAAAATCCGCCTGTAGGTTGACATGCCCGACCTAAACACAAGGTCTGGAGCCGGGAGATCGGCGAGTCCCCTGCGCTTCTGGGCCAGGTCTGCCTCGAGCAGGCCCAGTTCCAGGAGGGCTTCGAGGGGGAGGTGCAGCTGCAGGGCGCACCTCGCCCGGGCGGCGGGGAGGCCTTCGCGCACGTCAAGCTCGAGATCGAGGCCTTTGCCGCCCCGAGGGCCACCGCGTCGGCCTGGGAGACCGAGGTGAGGGGAAGAGAAGCGTCCTTCTCCTCCTCCTCCTTCTCCTCCTCCTCCTCCTCCTCCTCCTCCTCCTCCTCCTCCTCCCTCGCTCCTCCTCCTCCTCCTCCTCCTCCTCCTCCTCCTCCTCCTCCTCCTCCTCGTCCTCCTCCTCCTCGCTCCTCCTCCTCCTCCTCCTCCTCCTCCCTCCTCCTCCTCCTCCTCCTCCTCCTCGCTCGCCTCCTTCCTCCTACCTCCTCCTCCTCCTCCTCCTCCTCCTCTCGCTCGCCTCCTCCTCCTCCTCCTCCTCCTCCTCCTCCTCCTCCTCCTCCTCCTCCTCCTCCTCCTCGCTCGTCCCTCCTCCTCCTCCTCCTCTCTCCTCCTCCTCCTCCTCCTCCTCCTCCTCCTCCTCCTCCTCCTCGCTCGTTCTCCTCCTCCTCGCTCGTCCTCCTCCTCCTCCTCGCTCGTCCTCCTCCTCCTCCTCCTCCTCCTCCTCGCTCCTCCTCTCGCTCCTCCTTGCTCTGCTCGGCTCCCCCTCCTCGCCCCTCCTCGCTCGGGACCTGCCCCCAATGACACAGGCGTCTACGCAACAGCCCCGGGTGTTCACTTCTACCGGCTGGTCCTGTCTGATCGGTTATTCCAGCGGGTGCGTCCGCTGCAGGGCTTCGCACGCAGGGGTGCTCCATGTGCGAGCGGTTCGCATGCCCTCTATCTATGGTCAACGTCGGCCCGAGCGATCCGATCGGATGGCGTTTCCGGACGGCGGGATCCGATTCGGTCGTGATGTTGCGGCGATCCGATCCCCTCGGGGCCCAGATCCTCGGACTCTGGAGGGGTCGCGACCTCCCCTCCCCTCTCCCCCTTTCCCCCTTCCACTTCTCCCTTCCCCTCCTTCGAATCAAGCTCGAAGGGCACGTTCTGCCCAAACACAAGCTCTCGGAGGTCCGCGCGGAGTTCTTGGATCTGCGCTGGACCTCCTTGGCGGCACCTCTGGCGCCGCCCTTGGCGCGCTCCGTTCTCCAGGGAGGGGTACTCCAGATTTCGTAATAAAGGGAGGGGGGTCTCATTTCGGGGGGGGGGGGTCTCTTCCAGGCTATCTTGGAGGGCCTGGGGGGGTCTGGGGACGATGTTTTGGAGGGTTCTCCCACGGGGGGGGTCTGAAATGGCTTGTCTTGGAGGATCCAGACCCCCTCCCTTTTATTACGAAATCTGGAGTAGCACACCGCCCCTCCAAGGAATCCGCGCGGACCTCCGAAAGTTTATGGTCATGCCTATTGCTCTTCATACGACGGACACCACGACCTTGCTTTTTTTCCCCGTCAGGGGCCCTGGGACTCACGGATCGGCCCGGCTCGTTGCATCAGGCCCACAGTTCAGAAATCCCGCAGATGCGGTGCAGGAGTGAAAGGGGTGCCCTGGGTCGAACAGCTAAAGCCAAAGTTGCCGAAGTCTGCAGCTGGCGCCAGGTTTTGAGAACGCTTTTCTCTTTCAGCACGGACCTGGGACAGCCACCGTTGGATCCCAGTCCAGCCCCCCGGGAGCCTTCCATTCCTCTCCCATGCATTCCCTACCCCTCCGTCCCCCATCTCCTTCATCCCCCATCCCTCTCCCACCCAACGCACCCATCTTCCCCATCCCCCATCCCATCCCATCGCTGGGGCGAGAAGACCACCTCAGAGACGACCGCGCTCCGAATCCCTGTGCCCCGCGATCTGCCCGGCAGCGCACCCGTCAGGACCCGGAAGAAATTCGCGAACACTCGTGCCACATTCATCTGTCAATGCCCCCCCACAAATGATCAATGTTGGCGGTGGGTTGAATGAGTTGCACTTCGACCGCAGCCTTCCCTGCGCGTGCCAACTTTGAGTTTTGGGGAGCGGGGGAGTGTCCACTAGATGTTTCCTCCTACCGTTCAGTCGAGCCTGTCCCTCTACAGGAGGAATCTTCAAAAACACTACAAACATAGTCTGGGGACAAATGTTTTGAGCATGCTCGACCATGTGCTTCGTTAAAGGCTTAACGACTTCTGCCGTCCTTCGACTCGCGCTGGAGCGGCCGCGAAGTGCTCGAACTTTCCCTGGAGATCTCTGGATTTACCTGGATTTACCCAGATTTATCTAGATTTACCTGGATTGACCTGGATTTACCTCGATTTATCTGCATTTACCTGGGTTTATCTGGCTCGATTCTCACAAGTCGATTGGCGAAAAGTCGACAAGCCCTTAGGGAGTGCTGACTCTTTCTGCTGGGGGTACGCTCTAGCTTCCGTCCAAAATCCGCCTGCAGGAGGACCGGCCCGACCCCAGTCCTGCCGGCAGACCGCGGGGCCTCCTGCCGTGCCTCTCGCGCGCCCTCCCTGCCTGCTCTCGGGGGCGGCGCCTCTCCCGGCGCAGCCGGGGAGCACGCCGTCGCCCATCGCAGGGCGGATTTCGCTCGGGAAACGACAGGGTCATTGACCTTCCAGAGAGCTATTTTTTAGCACGGGAGACCTAAAAACCTAAAAAGCTGAGCGAAACAGCCTAAAACCAAGACGTAGAATAGCTCTGGGATAGGTTTTTAGGTCGGGTGCTATTTTTTAGCCCTCCTGGAAGGTCAGGGGTGGGCCCGGAGAGTGTCCTGGAGAATTCCGTTCCGGATTTCGAGGCGAATTTCGTGCGGTTTTCTCTGGCCAGGAATGAAGACAACAGAAAGAATCCACGCGCAATGTTCGCTCGCCGTTTCGGGGTTTTGCATTGGCAGAAATCCACGCAAACATCCGCTGCAGCACGTCTGCAAGGTCGGTGCAGTGATCGATGCGGTGCTGACTGATCCTGCTATCGCCTGGGCCTCCCAGACGGTGTCGGGACAGGGGTCGGAGGATCGCGCCGCAAGGCCGGTGCATCGCCGATGCACCGACGATGCGGCTCGGTGTGGAGCCCGTGCTGTTTCCACGCCGACGTCGCGGATGCATCGCCGATGCGTCGGCGATGCATTCGCGATGCGGCGCGATCCTTCGACCCCATCTACCTTGAACCCATCCAGGAGAGGCCTCTATGTAGGTGATAAACACAATGCAGTCGAAACTGGCAGTAAGGCTGATCGACTTCCCAAGGGTCTCCTTGAAGCCTGGCCTCGTCGGTCATTTTCGCTCCATCCTCAGACACTTTCGATGGCCAGCCCCGCTCGAGAAGCGCCGGCATGGCCTTCCAAGGCCCAAGGCCCCTTGCACCCTCACCGCACAGTCCTGCTCTCAGCTTTCGCTGCACACGGACCTGGCCATTCGAGGGCCTGCGCGGCGTCTTCGGAGCAGCGCCGGAGCCCCCCCGGGGCGCTGCGCCCCGGGCTCTGCCCCCCTGGCGCTCTCCGCGCGCCTGGGAGGGTGGCCCAGCGCCGCGCCACGAAAGCCGCGCGGATGTGCCAGAGGCCATGCTTGTGGTGCAGGGGAGACCCGTGCCAAGAAACACCCTGCCTGCCTCCCTGTTTTTTGGGGGGGAGTTCGATGGTATTGCGATGGGGAGCGTCACGTTCCCACACCAAAAGTCGATCGACGTCCTTGGGTTTCAGGGTTGGGTTTCTTGTGGGAGGCTTCTTGTGATCGAGCCCCTACTTCATTTGTTGTCCCCCGTCCTGCCACGAGGTCGGCGAGGGCCAGGGCTTCTCGGCGCTCATCGGCGACCAGGACCTCACGCGCGGAGTGCCGGGCCTGAAGCCCGGTCGGTACTACCAGCTGCGCGCCCGCGCGCTCTCGGTCGAGGGAGCATCGCCGTGGAGCGAGCTCTCGGAGCCCGTCAAGACGCCGCCCGACGTGCCGAGCCCACCAGGCGGCTTCCACGTCGATGCGATCGACCCCCCCCCGACAGATGCTCGCGTCGTGGGAGCAGACACGGCAGAAGAGGTCTTCGGGCACTCCTGCGTCGGTCTTCGGCGGCTTTCGGGCCTCGAGGTACGTTCCAGCGGCTTCGCCTCGCCGAGGGCGTTGCGGGGGCGCCGAGGTCGGGGCCGCCGGAGGCCCCAGTTTTTGGCCCGAGACCCGCACCGCCTCGCGTCGTGAAAAACCACAACGGGAGGTTGTTGGTCATTTTCGGCCTACCGGGGCCCTCGCCGAGCCCAGGGATCATGAGAAAACGTCTCGGGATGAAAAGCCGGCCCCGGGAGAGGGTCGGGGACCTCCGCCGACCGCGCACTGAAGGAATCAAGACATGGCATGTCTGGGATTCGACATCGACTCTGGTCGGCTCGAGCCGATTCGATTCCGGCAGCCCGGTGCCGCCCGATGCGGCCGCACGGCGTTGCCGTGCATCTCGGCGCAGCCCATTTGATTCGGTCTCGGCTCCGTGCCGATGCGGCCCGGTCCGACGCACAGTCCGATCCAGTCCGATTTCCCGATGGGGTGCTGACCGCTCCTGCCAGGGCAGCTCCAGTGCGAGTTCACCACCATGGCGTCAGTGGAGCTGAGGTGGCAGCCACCGGCGGACAACGGCGACCCCGACCTCTCCTACGAGATCGCGACGGCCCCGAGCGAGGACACCCCAGAGGGCGAGTGGAGCCGCATCGGCCTGGAGGCCATTGCGCGGGGCTTGCAGAAGGCCCGCCGAGGGTTTCTGCTCTACAAGGTGGAAGGGCTCAAGCCCGGCGCCCCGATGTATTTCAAGCACCGCGCCAGGAATTGCATCGGCTGGAGCGCGTGGTCGGAACCGTCCCGTTTCATGACACGGGCCACGCGGCCAGGCAAGCTGGCGGCAGGCGGCCTGAGGCTCGTGGACGAGACGCCGACCACTCTCCGCATCAGCTGGCAGGAGCCGCCCACCAACGGCTCGGCTGTGGCCCGGTACGACATAGTTGGGGGTCCGAGCTTGAGGGTGTTGCGCTGGGCCATGCTATGCACGAACCTGTTGGAGAGGAGCCCCGCCGCTGATAAGCTTTTCAACGTCGACGAGTGCAGCGGCCACGACTATGGGGAGATTGTGGGCACAGAGGAGTTCTCGAGCTTCTACTGCAGCACTTGCATGTTCGTGTCGCTGCGTGGGGAGGAGCGCAGCCTGGAGCTGACGGATCTACTCCCTGGCCAGACCTACTACTTCACGATGCGCGGCGTGTGCCCTCAGGGCAAGGGCGACTTCAGCGAAGTCTCTTCGGTGAAGATGATGCCGAGAGTCCCTGTCGCCGGCGACGCCCCGCAGATCGGACAAGTCACGACGACGGAGGCAGAGCTGATCTTGTGGCTCCCGTATGGCAACGGCGTTCCGATAGACAGCATATGCGTCGAGTGCTCCCGCACCTCCGGTGCACTTTCGGAGGAGCAGGTGGACCCTGAAACTGGCGAGCCCTTGGAAGAATTTGCCTTGATGAGGATCGTGCAGAGCCCTCGGGAGTTCGAGCGCCTCTCCCGGGTCGGGCCCGAGACAGAGGAGTTGGAGGGCCGCAGAGGCTACAGAGGTTGGATTTGGGGCATGACACAGGGCCTGCTCGGTGCCTACCGCGACGAGGGCGTGGACGAGGAGGTGTGCTTCGAAGACGGCCACGCGCCAGAGATCGCAGCCGCCACCAGCTGCGTCTACAGGGCCACAGTGCGAGGCCTCCTGCCTGGCACTGCGTACACGGCCAGGTGGTCGAGCCACAACTCCTGCGGATGGTCGGAACACACAGAGTGCGCCTGCTTTACCACCGCGGGCACAGCCCCGGACGCGCCCCCGGGGGTGATGCTCTGAGTCGCGCGGCGAAGCCGGGCACCCAGAGGCTCGCGGAGGGATGGAGGGACCGACGGGGTGAGGGCAGCAAGGGTGCGCGAGGAGAGCATCACCGAGATCCGGCGTCAAGAGAAATATCACTTCACGAACTGTATGCGGCTGGAGCAGGGGCAGGGTTTATCGCGATCCAATTCAATGTCGACTCCGGGCGGCTGGATCCGATTCGAGTCCGACGGTCCGATGCAGCCCGATGTTCGCACGGCGTTGTTGTGCATCTTGGCGCGGCGGATTTGATTCGATGTCGATTCCGTGTCGACATAGCCCGATGCGAAGCATATTCCGATCCGACCCAGTTCTCCGATTTGGTGATGATTGCTCCTGTAGGGGAGCGGGGCGATGGACGAACAGGCAGCAGCCTGGTCAACAGCGCCGCACCTGCTCAAGGTTTTTTTTTTGCTCAGTCGTCCTGGGGCTCGCGTCCCAGCCGCGGGGCCTTCGTGACCCCTCCCTGCTCTCCCCCCTTCTGGCTGCGCACTCCCCTGCCCAGATCTCCGTGCGACGTGAGTAAACTTCCAAGGACGAAGTCGGCACAGCACACAAAATGATGGGAGATCTGCGCTGAACCCACCCTGGCGGCGCCTCCATCTCCGCCCCTGGCGCGCTCCGTGCGCCGTGGAGGGGAGTCCAGCGCCGCTCCAAGGAACCAGCGCGGACATCCGCATGTATTGCATATATCTGCTCGCCTGGCAAAATCTACGACCATTGCGTCTTCCCCATCTCGGGCTCCGAGGTTGACGGATCGGTTTGGCTCCAGAGATCAGGGTTACAGCTTAGAAAGTCAGCAGGCGTGGATGGGAGTGAAGGGGGTGCCCAGGGTCGAAAAGTTGAGGCCAAGGTTGCCGAAGCTTGCCGATGGCGCGAGGTTTCTGAAAACACGTTTTCAGACCTGGCGTTGCCACCGTTGTATCCCAGTCCAGCCCTCAGGCTCGCTTCCATTTCTCCCCCATCCCCCTTCCCCCTCCTTCCCCCTTCTCCTTCATCCCCCTTCAATTCCCCAACCCAATGCGCCCCTTCCCTCCCTCCCCCCTCCCATCGCTGGCACGAGACGACCACCTCAGGAACGACGACCACGCCCCGCACCCTGGTGCTCTGCGAGCTGTCCGCCAGCGCACTCATAGGCCGCGGGGGCACCTCCCCGGCTTCTCCTCCTTCTCCGCCTCCTCCTCCTGCAGGGTCTTCCGTAGCCATTTTGGCTCAAGATGCCCGTTCCCCTGGGGAACACGTGGATACCGCTAGTCCGCGGCAGTCTCAGTGTTTTTGTGAGCTCCTGGTGGAGCAACCTCTTGTGAGCTCCTGCAGGAGCATCAGATGGGGAGTGGCAGCAAGGATGCGTACTCCACGTGCACGGGCTGCGGCAACTGGGCGTGGAACTGGCGCCTCAAGAAGCAGAAGGGCGCCTGCGCCATCTGTGGCACGCAGATGCCTGGGTGGTCTACCTCGGCCAATGGCACGTGGTTCGCCCCGTGGGGGGGTAAGTCTGCCTGGCCCAAGCTCCCCTCCGCGCCGACGTTGGACGACTACATGGCCAAGGCGTTGCAGTCGGCTGGCCTGGGCGCGGATCCTGCTGCGGCGCAGCTGGCCTCTCAGCTTGGGGCCTTGGCGGCGGCGAAGAAGCCTGCCGCTGCGCCCAAGCCTGCCTACTCGGTTCTCAAGGCGGCCACGGCGGAGTGCTCCCGCAAGCAGGACGCCTTGGATAGGGCGGCGCGTGCGGTCGAGAGCGCCAAGCTGCAGCTGGAGAAGGCGACCGCGGTCTGGGAGAAGGCCACCGATGAGATGGTCGAGGCGGAGTGCGCGCGCCTGCAGGCTCAGGAGCTGGTCGACACCTCCTCGGACAAGCCTGACGGCATCACCTTCAAGGTCGACCCCTCCCTGTTCGCGGAGCTGGACGAGCTGGAGGAGTCGGACAGGAAGGCGCTTGAGATGTTCCAGAAGCAGCTGGAGGAGATTTCCAAGCAGGCGTCGGAGAAGCAGAAGGAGTTCCAGCAATTGCTGGACCAGGCGAAGAATGCCCACAAGGAGGCGGCCACCAAGCGGCGTCGTCGTGACGAGGACGGTTGTGCAGTCCGCGGTGAAGGTGACGGTGGAGGAGCCCCCTCCGCGGCCGCTGCAGGCCCAGGCGGCGCCTCTGCGGCCGCCAGCCAGGGCAGCAAGGCCTCGCCTGCCGTCTCCGAGGCGGTGCGCAAGGACATGCGCGCCAAGTTCCAGGACAATTCGGTGGTCCAGGCGAAGGCGGCCGCTCGTGCCAAGACTGCTGCCAAGCCTGGTGTCCAAGGCGCTGATGTCGGCCCTCCTGCTGCTGCAGCCACGGGTTCCTAGCGGGGCTGCTCCGTGCCCCTGGCAGCGGGGCGAAGCGCTGCTGGCTCATGAGGACGTACCTGATCCTGAGGATGACTCGCTGTCCATCCTCTTCGGCAACATCACGGAGTGGGGGCCGCAGGCTGCACGATTCTTGTCCCAGGAGTCGGCGCGCAGCGTGGTGGCCTTCTGCGAGACACACAAGGGACCTGATGATATGCATGACATCCGGTCGAGGTTGGACAAGGACGGCTGGAGGGTCACCCACACGGCTGCTCGGCCATCGGGCAGGTCGGACACGGGCCTCTCTGGCGGGGAGTGGATACTGACTAAGAAGCACATTGCGGCGACGAGCTTTGAGAGTGTTCGCCGCGCATCTTTGGAAGCGGGCAGGTTGGACCCCTGCCGCGGGTTCGTGCCGCTGGTGCTTCACACTCGTGCTGGCAATTTGGTGCTGATATCTGCCTACCTCCAGCCTGGCCTGGGGGTGAAGGGGTGGAACAACGAGGTGCTCGTGGCGCTGGGCTCGTTCGTCCGCTCATTGGCGGACCCCTTCTTGATCATGGCCGATTGGAATATTGAACCAGGGCCCTTTGTGCAGTCGGGCTGGCCTGAACGACTGGGTGCGCGGGTGGTCACACCGACGTGTATCACTACATGCGACAAGGGTCCTGGCAGAATGTACGACTATGGCCTGGTGGGCCGCGGCTTCCCTGACGTGACCTTGAGCCCTGACTTGTCGGTGCCGTGGAAGACGCACTGCGGGGTTCACATCTCGGTGATGGCAGCACGCACCCAGCGCTGGTACCGCCAGCTCGTGCTGCCGCAGCCGCTGCCGTCTCGAGAAAGGCCCTGCGCGGCCGCTGACCCAGACAGCAAGACGTCGAAGCGCAAGGCGGCCGCACGTGAGCGCAAGGTACAGCAACTTCCGTCTGACATGCAGGACTTGTTCGGTGATTTCTTTGGGCCCATGGAGGGGCCAGATGGCATGACGTCCTTTGGGGGCCCCCAGAGCACGCACTGCTCGCCTCCCAGGCCCGCTGGGCCATCGGGGGTTGAGGGTACCGACTCTGGGGGCAGTCGATCTGATGTCGGCAGCGAGGTGGCTTTTGCTATTGCGGCTGAGACTTGGGACGAGGCTATGACTCAGATCTACTGGGAAGGTGTCCCTGAACCGCATGGTCAGGCCCCGTCTGGTTTCCTGGGCCATCATGCTCCCTACGATCCTGCACGTCACTTCGCCTTCCGCTGGCAGGCTAGGGGCCGTGTGCGGGTCGATGCTTTGCACAACCATTGGGTCACGGTCATGGAGAGGGCCGTGCTCCTGCATGAGAAGGTTGACTCTGACAAGTGGAAGCAGTACTCAGGCCGTGCTCGTGGCCCTGCCTGTTGTTGGAAGCTGGTACGGTCGACTCCTGGACGTGCCCACATGCGCAACGAGCAGGCTGAGTGGTGGGGCCTTGTTAGCACGCTGGTCACGCGCTACGTGGCCCTGGTGAGGAATGCTTCTGACCCGCACCAGGCGGCCCAGTGCGTCGTGAAGGCGCGTCAGTTGATCGAGCAGCTGGACGGCAAGTCGGACGAGCTGTACTTTGGCAAGAAGCAGGACCCCCAGGAGGTCTTCGTCTGGAAGGGCATGGTGCTCAGCCTCGATCTGGTCGATGCTGCTGCCTTGCCTGAGCTTTTGGAGAGAACCCGCAGGTGGGCTGACCTGTCAAACGCTCGTGCCATGATGGCCTCCAGGTCCGCCTTCATGAACTGGGTCCAGGAGATTTGGTCCGCTAAACCTGGGGCCGTCCACAGGCATGTGAAACCAGCGGAGGCCCCAGTTTGGGAAAGTAAGGACTCCTGGGGCACCGTCACTTCGGACAACCAGGCTATGCTTCAAGGTCTGGCGAAGGAGTGGCAGGCGATGTGGACCGACCCAGTCGACTCGCCTGAGGACGTGCTGGCGATGATGCAGAAGTGTTTCGATGCGGCCAGGGAGGACCCCCTGCCCGCCATCACGCTGCTGGACCTGGATGCGGTGTTGCCGAGGATCCCTGCGAGGAAGGCCAAGGGCGTGGATTCGCTGAGCCCGTTGGATATCCAACGGCTACCTGATGCAGCTCGTCAGGCCTTCGTGGACAACTTGAACGCTATCGAGGCAGCAGGGGTTTGGCCTTCCTGTCTCAGCAGTGTTTTCGGAGCAGCCATCCCGAAGGAGGCGGGGGGCTGTCGTGTGCTGGGGCTGGTTCCCATGTTGCAGAAGGTGTGGTCCAAGATCCGCTCTCGAGCTTCGGGGGAGTGGTCGGCTTCGCTCTCTGCTTTCTGGGATACTGCTATTGCTGGATCGTCCGCCTTACGGGCGGCGCTGATTCGTGCAGTGATGGACGAGGGGGCCCACGAGCTGGCCTTTGAGCATGCGACGCTTTTCTTAGATTTGACAAAGTTCTACGACTCGGTGAGTTTTGTATTGCTCATGCAGGCTGGCCTGCAGATTGGTTTCCCGCCGATCATTTTGTTGCTGGAGGTTGGCCTCTACTCCTTCCCGCGCCTGTTGAAGAAGGGCCAGATGATAACGGAGGCGGTGGAGGTCACCAGGTCGATCGTCGCGGGGTCGGGGCTCGGAGTACCCTTGGCCAAAGTCATGTTGCATCGGCTGTTGGAGAAGGTACACCGCGAGG